GGGATTAGAACCCCGGTCAGGTTTTTATTGTTGTGTCTGCCTCCATTGGGGAGATTCACCCTCTCTATTTGTAATGTTAATGCTGTTATCACCAAAAGTGAAAGTGAAAGAAAATCCACAAATTTGGTTTGATGCTCAAACAGAACTAGAGGGGAAAAATTCCCAAAGGGGACATTCGTTCTGGTGATCCTGGTGACAACCAGGGATTTCTTCACTTTGGAACGATTTCCTCTCACTTCCTGTTTTGGCTATGGGACAGGAAGTGAAGAAAAATCTCCCCAATGGGGCACAGGAGGCAAAAAAATGACAGGGGCTATAATTCTCAGTTATTCTACCCTAAATGAAAAAAAAAAGTTTTGCCTTTCATTCCACCTCTGGATTGGGGCAATGGGGGGGAGGGGGGGATTTATACACATTTCTTATCTGCCACTGATTTACCAAGATTTAAAGTGTTTATACAGACTAAAAAATGAAAGGGACAGTCACATTAATATGTTCCCGCAAATACAGTTGCCTTATCTCATCCTAATTATTTAGACATTGTTTGCGTTACTGCCTGTGTCCCCATTGGGGAGATTCTCAGTCACTTCTTGCTCTGTCTTACACCCATTAAAAATAAAGAAAGAAACTGAACTGTGGCATATGGGGTCTCCCAGAATGAAACCAGCCTTACTCATTAGTTATAGAGAACACTATCTGAATGACTGAATCACAAACAGAGCTTCTTGTACTTTTCTATATTTGTATTATATGCATTTTGCTTTGTTATTTCTGAAGGAAATACAGTTAGGTCCATATATATTTGGACACAGGCACAATTTTAGTTTTTAGCAGGTATTGACCAAAACATTTTCAAGCTATAATGGATATGGGCTGAAAGGGCACATTCTCAGGTTTAATTTGAGGGTATGTACTTCCAAATTGGATGAAGAGTTTAGGAATTACAGCTCTTAAGAGTAGCCACCCCCTGTTTCAAGGGACCAAACGTAACTGGACAATTTAATCAAAAGCTGTTTCATGGCCAGGTGTGGGCTACCCCTTCGTTATTTCTTCATCAAGTAAGCAGGATAAAGGTCTGGAGTTTATTCTAAATGTGGTATTTGCATTTGGAATCTATTGCTGTGAACGTACATCATGCGTTCAAAGGAGCTGTCCATGCAAGTGAAGCAGGCTTCAAAAATGAAACAAATCCATCAGAGAGATAGCAGCAACATTAGGAGTGGCCGAATCAACAGTTTGGTACATTCTGAGGAAAGAAAAACACACTGGTGAGCTCAGCAACATAAAAAGGCATTGACGTCCACAGAAGACAACAGTGGTGGATGACGTCCACAGAAGACAACAGTGGTGGGCGTATCTTTGTCAAAGTCTACAATCAAGAGAAGACTTCACAAGAGCAAATACAGAGGATTAACCACAACAACCACCACATTCATAAGCCTGAAGAATAGAAAAGCCAGATTAGGCTTTGACAAAAAACATCTAAAAAATCCAGACCAGTTCTGGAAAAGCATTCTTTGGAACTAAGATTAATCTGTACCAGAATGACGGGAAGAAAAAAGTTTGGAAAAGGCTTGGAACAGTTCATGATCCAAAGCATACAACATCATCTGTAAAACATGGTGGAGGCAGTGTGATGGCATGGGCATGCATGGCTTCCAGTGGCACTGGGTCTTTTGGTCTTATGTGACATAAGACAGAAGCAGCCGGATGAATTCTGCAGTGTTTAGAGATATACTGTCAGCCAAGATTCAGCCAAATGGAGCAAAGTTGATTGGATGGCGCTTCACAGTACAGATGGCCAATGATCCAAAACACACTGCAAAAGCAACCCAGGAGCTTTTGAAGGCAAAGAAGCGGAATATTCTGCAATGGCCAAGTCAATTACCTGATCTCAACCCAATTGAGCATGCATTTCACTTGAAGGCAAAACTAAAGGCAGAAAGACCCACAAAGAACAACTGAAGACAGCTGCAGTTAGAGCCTGGCAAAGCATCAGAAAGGAGGAAACAGTCTTTGGTAATGTCCATGGGTTCAAGACTTCAGGCAGTCATTGCCAGTAAAGGATTCTTAATATTAAAAATGAACATTTTATTTATGATTATATTCATTTGTCCAATTACATTTGAACCCCTGAAAATTGAGGAACTGTGTATAACAATGGTTACAACCAGTACAACCAGCCTACCTATACATGGATTGAAATTTGGCTGGTCCCTGCTGAACTGCCTGAATTTCAATCCACGTATGGCTGGCTTAACTCTACTTATTTACTTTTTTTCTTTGAACTGTTCTTTACTTTCGACTCAACGATCACTGAGATATTAAAATTCTAACATTTTTGGCTCTATACACCACCACAATGGATTTGAAATGAAACAAACAAGATGTGCTTTAACTGCAGACTGTCAGCTTTAATTTGAGGGTATTTACATCCAAATCAGGTGAACGGTGTAGGAATTACAACAGTTTGCATATGTACCTCTAACTTGTTAAGGGACCAAAAGTAATGGGACAATTGGCTTCTCAGCTGTTCCATGGCCAGGTGTGTGTTATTCCCTCATTATCCCAATTACAAAGAGCAGATAAAAGGTCCAGAGTTCATTTCAAGTGTGCTATTTGCATTTGGAATCTGTTGCTGTCAACTCTCAAGATGAGATCCAAAGAGCTGTCACTATCAGTGAAGCAAGCCATCATTAGGTTGAAAAAACAAAACAAACCCATCAGAGAGATAGCAAAAACATTAGGCGTGGCCAAAACAACTGTTTGGAACATTCTTAAAAAGAAGGAACGCACCGGTGAGCTCAGCAACACCAAAAGACCCGGAAGACCACGGAAAACAACTGTGGTGGATGATCGAAGAATTCTTTCCCTGGTGAAGAAAACACCCTTCACAACAGTTGGCCAGATCAAGAACACTCTCCAGGAGGTAGGTGTATGTGTGTCAAAGTCAACAATCAAGAGAAGACTTCACCAGAGTGAATACAAAGGGTTCACCACAAGATGTAAACCATTGGTGAGCCTCAAAAACTGGAAGGCCAGATTAGAGTTTGCCAAACGACATCTAAAAAAGCCTTCACAGTTCTGGAACAACATCCTATGACAGATGAGACCAAGATCAACTTGTACCAGAGTGATGGGAAGAGAAGAGTATGGAGAAGGAAAGGAACTGCTCATGATCCTAAGCATACCACCTCATCAGTGAAGCATGGTGGTGGTAGTGTCATGGCGTGGGCATGTACGGCTGCCAATGGAACTGGTTCTCTTGTATTTATTGATGATTTGACTGCTGACAAAAGCAGCAGGATGAATTCTGAAGTGTTTCGGGCAATATTATCTGCTCATATTCAGCCAAATGCTTCAGAACTCATTGGACGCCGCTTCACAGTGCAGATGGACAATGACCCAAAGTATACTGCAAAAGCAACCAAAGAGTTTTTTAAGGGAAAGAAGTGGAATGTTATGCAATGGCCACGTCAATCACCTGACCTGAATCCCGATCCGATTGAGCATGCATTTCACTTGCTGAAGACAAAACTGAAGGGAAAATGCCCCAAGAACAAGCAGGAACTGAAGACAGTTGCAGTAGAGGCCTGGCAGAGCATCACCAGGGATGAAACCCAGCATCTGGTGATGTCTATGCGTTCTAGACTTCAGGCTGTAATTGACTGCAAAGGATTTGCAACCAAGTATTAAAAAGTGAAAGTTTGATTTATGATTATTATTCTGTCCCATTACTTTTGGTCCCTTAACAAGTGGGAGGCACATATGCAAACTGTTGTAATTCCTACACCGTTCACCTGATTTGGATGTAATAATCCTCAAATTAAAGCTGACAGTCTGCAGTTAAAGCCCATCTTGTTCGTTTCATTTCAAATCCATTGTGGTGGTGTATAGAGCCAAAAATGTTAGAATTGTGTCGATGTCTCAATATTTATGAACCTGTCTGTACATAGGCTAGTTTTATGAACCTTCCCGGTTCAACAAGCTGTTTATCTGGATTACATTCTTCCTTTATTTTGAGATTTATTGGCCTTGATCTTTACCACTATTACTACTGATGTTTGTACAATTTGCTTAACCCAATTTGCTGACTAAAGCCGGCCATAGATGATTTTGAACCATGTATGAGTAGGATGAATGTACCCAAGTTGATTGATCGATCAACTTGAGTACAACCAGCCTATCGGATTTTACATGCAATTACTGCTAGCGGTTAATAAAGCTGCTAGCAGTAATCACTGTGCTGTCTCAGGGGGGACTGCTTCCCTCACCTTCCGCTGAGAGAATACAATGGCTGACTGTGTTGATGGGGAAATCGAGCGATTTTCTTTCCTGCAACCCGTGGTCGCAGGGAAGAAAAACGCTCCATCTATGGCCAGGTTAAGTGTTTTGTTGTATGTTGGTTTTAAAAAGTTTTTGTTTGAACCCCAAAAAAATAATAGCTAAGATCTGAAGTTTTCATGGTTTATGAAGACGCACCAAAGTGTTAGTTAATTGTGTGTTTCAGTATTTTATTTTTCACATTCTATAATCACAGTCAAACACAAGCTTAGATAAAATTGTCTCCCTTTAATTTTTTTTGTCAATTTATGGTGTTGGTGCAATCAGTGTTAACCTGCGATTTGTTGCCATGGGTAACCTAATTCCATTTTGTTAAATAATAACTGTGTATAGGGGAAGGTCCAGGTGACGCAGCAAAGTGTACATCAGCTGCATGCCATCCGGTCAGAGTTCACACAGACAGGAGCCTTGTGGTGAAACCCAATCTTGTGATCCTCTAATGAACCTGACACGCTCTCTTTGGTCCATAGAGGTGATACATTGTGATTTTTGGTTACCTAGAAGAGCTGACAATAGCAGAGAGAATGTGAATGAAGAGGGCAGCTCTGCTTACCATGTGGTCTTTTCTCTGGAGAACTTAATCCCTGGCACTTTTCCCATCCGTCTCACCATCATACGTAGACGGTTGTTCCCAGTGAGTACTTTGACTGCACTTCCATAGTTATGCTCTCTAAACTGACACCATTCACCTCGGCGATCTTATCTCCGACACACAGACCTGCTAGATCTGCAAAGAGATCACATGGATGTTACAGCCTAGAGGCAGCAGGATATACCATAGCATTATTTCGAAGTAAATATACATTATTCTGGAAATAAATAAATGTACTATATGGTTTAATGATTTCAGTACTGTACATTATGAGGATAGAAGGATTCACTGAGGCTTTCAGGAACCATATCTATACAATGTGTCACAGGCTAAGTATATATCAAAATTTTAGGAAACTCCAAGGTAGATCTCCTCTCATTCTTAAAGTGGTTGTAAACCTCAGACATGAAAAATTAACAAAGAACTTACGTCTATACCTTGTACTTGTCTATCCAAAGCACTGAGAGTGATTTATCTCTGCTACCTGGTTCCTCTGTTATCTTCATAAGTCAGTTTCAATAGCTTTTCCCGAGGCCAAGAGCTAATTGGTGATGAGGGAGGACAGCTCCAGCACACAGCCTCTGATTAACAGCCATGTTTACATGTACTGTGAGGAGGGGGTTTGTCCCTTCTCTCCAATCAGCTCTCAGAGCTCTCCTTACCTAGCTCTGCAGTGTTCAGATCCCCACCCTCTGCTTTCCAGAGCTGAGAGATGCTATGTACATTTTGTGTTTGGGAAGGCTGTAGAGAAGAGAGAGCTTCAGATAAACAGGATATGTATAGGGCGCATCAATGCAACAGGACGAAGGGTCAGTTGCACACAGGAGGATAGATGAATATAGTGTATATTTATTGATCCATAGGACACACAAAACACCAGGATATGAATACAGGACATGTTAACGCGTTTCACACGATCTCGTGCTTAATCATAAGGTTCGTGTGAAACGCATTAAGAGGTCCTGTTTTCATGTCCTGGTGTTTTGTGTGTCCTATGGATCAATAAATATACACTATATTCATCAGTTCTCCGATGTGTGGCTGACCCTTCTTCCTGTTGCATCATCTGTGGTGGCAAGCCAGAACCTGCACCTCTTGTGGATTGATCTGGATTGTTTGCCTGAGCGGTATACCTCTGTTCTTTGGATAGGGCGCATCAATGGAGGAGGCTGTGGACCGAGAGATGTCAGCCGGGGATGGAGGAGACACTGGACAACAGGCACCGGGCAGCACTTCTAGGAGTTGAAGCAAACTCTGTATATGGAAGAGGATACAACAGGAAGGCACTTCTAAGTGCAATATATCCAGAAGAATCCTTAATAATGACGGTTAGAAACACTTACAAACTTGTAGTTAAAACAGGCTCAATAAAATCGTCAGAGTGCAGAGGCTCAATCCACCATGCAAGAACCCACTGTGCCGCCAGCAGCTGCAGGGGGAGCTGAGGATCAGATGTCCAAGATGGCTGCCGCATGTTCCGGGATCGCTGGAATGCATGCTGGAGCGCACGCTGTCCAGAAGGTCGCAACCTCAGCTCCAGGCCGGAACAGCGGGTTCTTGCATGGTGGATTAAGCCTCTGCACTCTGACAATTTTATTGAGCCTGTTTTAACTACAAGTTTGTAAGTGTTTCTAACCATCATCATTAAATATTCTTCTGGATATACTGCAGCTAGAAGCGCCTTCCTGTTCTATCCTCTTGCAGATAAGAAGGTACAACTTGTATGTAAGAAGATTTGTTTCATCTCTTTGTACAACCTGAGGCTGGTCGCTTTATCGCTATGATTAAGCCCCAATGGGTGGGGTGAAATGCATCAGAGGCGGGTGTAGCACTACCCCCGTAGGAGCTGCAGGAACATTGTCCAGGTCTTCCCCAAAAGCTTTGCCCCACAGCCAGGCGCATAGGCTCATTCACATGTTTCCTCACTGACCAGTCTAAGGGTGTTTTTATTTTTGGATAACTTGGGTATGGTTGTGGGAATTAGATGGGATACTCCAAAAACAGAAACTATGTAGAGTTGAGAACTTTAGGTATTCTTTCAGATAAGCTATGATGAAGTGCTTGAAACAAACAGTAGACTCCAACTTTAAGGCGGCAGCAGTAGTAGTAGTAATTAGAGTCCTTTTAGATAGGAGATTAAGGCTGCTTTCACACTGATCTATTTCTCTGTCGCTTTTGCAGAAGAAAAACGTGTTACCATGTATTTCTTTGAAACTGTTCACATTGATCTGTTGCAGGTCCAGTGAGCTTTTGTAAATTCTGCTTGCTGCATTTTTGGTGCTGTAAAAAAAACGCACCAAAAACGCACCTCCCCATTGAAATCGATAGGAAACGCGGCAAAAAAGTATCAAAAATACACAGCTCTCACGCACAGCATTAGATCAAGATCGAGGGGAGGGTGAGGGGAAGATGTTCTGCAACAGAAGGTTTTTTTTTTTACCTTAATGCATAGAATATAAGTAATACCTGTTTATCTGCAGTATTCTCTTCTCTGCATTTGTTCAAAGTCCAGAATTTATAAAGCTTGTCTGACTGTCAGAAAACGGGGATGAAGAGCTGAAATTACTACAGAGCTCAGTGAGGAGAGCTCTGACAGCTGATTGGAGGGAAGGCACACTCCCCTTTGCAAAACACACAGGAACAGAGCTGAGGCTGTCAATCAGCTGGAGCTCCCTCCCCTGCCACCTTTTTTCTCTTGGTATCAGAAAAACTTGTCAGAAGTGACTCATGCTGATAGCAGAGGAATGAGGCAGCAGACAGAAATTACACTTAGGGCTCGTTCACACTTGGCTAATCTCTAACTCTTGCCAAACTCCCCTATAGCTTTTGACAGGCATTAAACAGGTGTTTGTGAAGCATTTTTAACGCTCCTCAAACGCTCCCCAAATGCCCTATGCACATTTTTAGGCGTTTGACAGGTGTTTGCCAAGCGTTAAAACTCCACCACAAACGCCTAGAATGAAGTTTAACGCTCTGCAAATGACTCAAAACTGCCTCACAAACGCCTGCCAGGCATTTGAGGAGCATCCCTATAGACTTGAATGGGAGGCTTCAACTCCTCTTGACTCGACATGAGGCATCAATTTTGCAGTGACACTAACGCTTCAGTGTGAACAGCACTGTGTGCTGCCATGTATAGAATGTTAAAAATGCTTCCCAAATGCCTGTCTAACGCCTGCTAACAAAGCTAGTGTGAACTTAGCCTTAGTGCTCTGGATTGAGACAAGCACACACTATAGAGGGATATGCTTTGTTCATATTTCATGTCTGAGATTTACAACCACTTTAAGCGATGTTTAATCTGCTTTTATTTTGGCTGTCTAAGGGTTAAGGTAAAGAATCAGGGGGGTATCTAGAAGAACATATCCTCCAGGCTCACCCATTAAACTTACTTCCCCCAAAGCACTTTCCAGAGTTTTTATTCGTAATTATTAATAATAATTTTGATATCTAGGAACATTATTTATATCATTTAAATTATTTTTTTTATAATATTTAATGTTCAACACTGCAATGATGTGAGTAATTTAAGATTACTTTGTCAAGTGTCAAAAAAGTTCCTAAATTCAAGTCCCTGCAATTGAAATATTATCCTCACTTCTTTGCTGGACAGTGTATCTTATACAACCTCTGTTTCAGCTCTGCAGCCACTGCCACATGTAGTGGTTTCTTCTTCTGGCCCCTACATAACTACAGAACTCAGCAATGATGTAAGGGTTAGGGGACAGAGTCTTTGAACTGAACCAATGAGCCATGGGAGCCACAGAGTCTTTTGGAGGCTGGAGCACTGGAATAGAAGGAAAGAGACACCAACCACCGAAGAGGTGAGCATAATACTTCTCTTGCAAGACCGGATTTAGGAATTTTTTAAACACTTGACAACACTTTTAAAATAAAAATAATTATAACCACATACTCTACACAATCAGTAACATTTGTTTCTTTGGTCATATAAAAAACACCTGTAGCATGAGTTCAAACGTATCAGTCAACATGAAGACTATAATTTATGGCTGGATGCTGGTGGTCAACATTTTTATACATATGGATGTTTATACAGTATCTGCTGGGGACTCATCACTCTTTTAGGTGTTCTGACTGTGCTCTTCATTGCTATAGACTCTTGCACTTGCTGCTGACCTCCCAATAACATAAAAGGTAAAGTGAAATGTATCTGTTGGTATAGCAGGTGGACGGTCTTGGGAACACAAGTGCAAAACTCTTGTCACTCCAAACTAACAAACCACAACAAGCTAAAAGACTGTAGGTGAGGTATACATAAATATAATAGATATAATATCATATTATACAATATAATTTTAGGTTTTATTATATGCCAGATAAGCACATTATTGCAGACCATTATAAACACATAAGGGTCAATTTACTAATGGCAAATAGGTTGTTCGTTTAGCACAGTGAATTTTCACTGTGCAAGGAAATTTTCGCTTAGCTTAGTGAATGATGTGGAAGACTGGTTATTACCTTCTCTTCATACCCTGCAAGCACAACTTAACATGAAACTCATTTTTACAAAACCAAAATCAAACAAAAGCAAACAGAATAGGCAATAGCCACATCAAAGAAATCTGTAGACTGATGGACACATCACTCATTAACGTATCCTAATGGTTTGTCTTACCTGCACTGCTTCCTTCTTCCACTTTACTGACAAAGATCCCAAGGCCATGCTCTGAACCCCCTCGGACACTGAACCCCAATTTTCCATCTGGAGTTTTGTCAACCGTGATGGCAAGGATTGAATCACTCTCATCACTGTTGGCTAAAAAGCAATTCAAAGATATTATTCTGTGTAATAATAAAGCTACCAATTATCATGCATTACACAAACAGAAATGTAACAATACATCTAACCAAAGGTGGGCAGATAAGCATCAGGATAAGTACATCACTGGACTACCATGACTTTTGTTGATTCTGTTTCTGATTGTTTCATCTGATTCTGTTGATGTTTGATCTCACATTGAACAGAGTACTTTATGTGCAGAAAAGGGCTTAAATGTCCATTGGTCTCAGAGATTTTCCACCAAATTTAAGTGGACTGATTATGAAGAACCCTCCTGTCCAGGGGCGGACTGACCATTTGGAAACTCGGGCACTGCCCGAGGGCCCGGGGTCAGTAGGGGGCCCCATGAGATGCCCCTGGTACCTTTTTCATAGGCTTTTTTGAGTTTGGGCAAGGAAACAGTGGCCCCATGACCCCTATTGCCCAGGGGCCCCATGAGTTGTCAGTCCGCCCCTGCTCCTGCCAAATAACCAATGAGACAGCTTCTTCCTTGACTATACAGCAGAGTTGATTCTACTGTGCTTCAAAGTATAGCAAGCCATAGATGATGTGATTTTCTTTCCTGCAACCACAGTTTGCAGGAAAAAAAATTGTTCATTTCCCCCCATCAACACAGTCAGTATTGAATGGGGGGGATTCCCTCCCATAACACTATTGTGTTCTGCCACTATTGTCAGCACCAGTTAATTGATACAGGTGAGTTTGATTACAAATTACAGGAGCATCACAATGCTTGGAATGCAATTATTTCTTACAATTTTGAGATGGTGCCAATAATTTTGTCCAGTCCATTTTTGGGGTTTTGCATGGAATGTGTCAGATTTGGTGCATTATCTGACAGAAATGCAGGGGTGCCAATATTTTTTGGCCATGACTGTATAAAAAAAAATAAGTTTGGTTGTACATCCACAGCAAGGCTTTTGGAACAATGTTCACTTACTGAATATCTGATCTCCAATACATACTATGGTGAATTATGCACGGTATGAATCCCTATTCTGTGAGCCCTTTAAATAAAACATTTGGTAATAAAGTCAACACTATTTTTACTGTAATATTTGATGTTTTTATATTTTACACCAAAATATTTCCCTGGCTTTGTAATTATCTTTTGTTTAGGGGATATTGGGTGAGAGATGTGATACTATTCTCACCACCTTTTTCTTCTCTTTGCATTGTTATGTACACGTTATCTCAAAATTCGAAAAAGTGATCTAACACAGGGGTGTTACAAAGGGTGCTAAAAAGTTATGCCTACAGTTGACAGGCTTTCTTCTTTTGTATTTAAAGCCCATCTCTGGGCAACAAAAAAGTTTTCCCATGCAGTGGGTCTGCACAGGTTAACTGCTCATTTTTGTTTAGGGGGAGAGGAGAAAGAAGATGTACAGTGGTTATAAAAAGTCTACACACCCCTGTTAAAATGTCAGGATTCTGTGATGTAAAAAAACGAGACAAAGATAAATAATTTCAGAACTTTTTTCACCTTTAACTTGACCTACAAACTGTACAACTCAATTGAAAAACAAACAAATTTTTTTTGTTGGGGGGGCATAAAAAAACTAAAATAATGTGGTTGCATAAGTGTGCAACACCCTCTTATAACTGATCCCCAGTTATAAGAGGGTGTTGCACACTACATACTGTAGCTGTGTTCAGAATTAAGCAATCACAATCAGAATCATGTTAAATAGGAGTCAGTACACACCTGCCATCATTTAAAGTGCCTCTGATTAACCCAAAATAAAGTTCAGCTGTTCTAGTAGGTCTTTCCTGACATTTTCTTAGTCGCATCCTACAGCAAGAGCCATGGTTCACAGAGAGCTTCCAAAGCAACAGAGGGATCTCATTGTTAAAAGGTATCAGGAGAAGGGTGCAAAATAATTTCCAAGACATTAGATGGAACACAGTGAAGATAGTTCTCATCAAGTGGAGAAAATATGGCACAATAGTGACATTACCAAGAACTGGACGTTCCTCCAAAATTTATGAAAAGACGAGAAGAAAACTGGTCTGCGAGGCTGCGAAGAGGCCTACAGCAACATTAAAGGAGCTGAAGGAATATCTGGCAAATACTGGCAGTGTGGTACATGTGACAACAATCTCCCGTATTCTTCATATGTCTGGGCTATGGGGTAGAGTGGCAAGATGGAAGTCTTTTCTTACGAAGAAAAACATCCAAGCCCAGCTAAATTTTGCAAAAACACATCTGAAGTCTCCCAAAAGCATGTGGGAAAATGTGTTACGGTCTGAGTTGGCGCAAAGTTAGATGTCCATAATCAAGTCCATAGTCCCACAAGGGGGTGGGGGGTGGAAAAGCAAACAGTGGGGGGAGGGGATGGGGGAAAAAGGGGAAACAGGGATCAGTTGCTGGATCCAGTAGGAAGTCCACAGGGGGACCAAAGAACGGTAAGTACCTCAAGGCAGCTTCCAAAAGAGAATAGAAGCAGATCTCCAATGTCACATGTAAAAAAGGAAGAAACCAAGGCACCACTGAGTGTAGACCGTTAAATACCGGTACATTCATTGTAAACAATAGTGTGAATGAACACTCACATTGTGAAGGATAAAATAAGGCACATCTGAAGTCCAATACAATTACGTCCGGGAGCGGTTAGCATCTGCTGTGGGTTTGGGTGTCCAATTCCTAGGTCCAGAAGCCGGCTAACAGATGATGTGGGACCTTCGGAAGGCTGCTCAGTTTATAGGTCACATTAAAGGTGGAAAAAGTTCTGAAATGATTTATCTTTGTCTCATTTTTTTACATCACAGAAACTGGACATTTTAACGGGTGTGTAGACTTTTTATATCCACTGTATCTACCTAATCCTCTGATTCCCCCAGCACAATATTGGTCTGGTACCCCCACACTCCAGATTGAGTTGTTGATTGTACTTTATGTCATTAAGTCCACAGCAGGCTACATAGACAAGGAACAGTCAGCCGATAGACCGCAGGGGAGTGCTGTATTCCCATGGAACAAAGGATTGGGTGAGTATAAGCTTTATCCTTACCCCTAGACAAAACAAGCAATTGACCTGTGCAGTGCAGGTACAGCCCACCTGCATGAGAAACCTTTTTTTTTTTTTTTTGCTCATAGTTGGGCTTTAAACAACTTAATTGTTTTGTTCATCTTATATTAAAACAAAGTGGTAGTTGTTCCCGAAGAATCCACCAATATAAGTACAAGGGGGCAGACCTACAGGGACTATAAAGATGACTTACAGTGTTTAAGAAACCATATTTTCTCTGGTCTCCCAGGAGATCTTTTTGTACTTCAAACATCTGATAAATTTGTATTGTATTACCCCTGGTACCTTTTTCATAGGCTTTTTTGAGTTTGGGCAAGGACACAGGGGCCCCATGATCCCCTATTGCCCGGGGGCCCCATGAGTTGTCAGTCCGCCCCTGGATCGGATCTGAGGATTGAGCATAATGGATCGGAGTCTGATCCATTATTATCCCCAATAGTTAACCCCGTATAGGTTGCAAGCCGACGATCCCCGCAGGAGGGATCGGATCAGCGGAATGGGGAGCATAATGGATCGGACTCCGCAGATCCGTTCCATCCTGCGGGGATCATTGGAGGGGTGACAGCAAGTGTTACCGCACCGGGTTACACCAACCCTAGGGACACCCCTGACTAAGACCAACATTATGATGCCAAGTGCAGCTGTGAAAATGGGTTCACATGTTGTATTCATCACTGCGAGTTTTTGATGCCTTTGTGAATGAGCCACAAATTAGCTATATTTAAGCACTATCCAACAGTCTATGGAGCTGCTGTAAATAGTAAGTTGTTGTGGCTGAGAAATGTGCTCTTAAAAGAACATTAGTAATAATTTAAATCTCCTCTCTTGAATGGTTTCAATAGCATAGTAATATCTCTCAAGAACTGCCAGAATGACAGGCTGTTATCAGTACTAAAGCCCAAATGAACTTTCAGTTTAAATGAGCTTAGTGCATTAAAGTCCATCAAAACAAATAGAGTATTATTGCGGTTGGTTGCAGTAGCAGGAATCACAGCTGTTCCTGCACCCAAAACCACCTATAGGCAAAATGCATGGGGCTGCCCTTCATTCTTAAAATGTAGCGTGTTTGGCAGGGAAAATGCATGGTGAAAAAGCACCATGCAATTTCCTGGCTGCTGCATTTTTACAATGCTACAGGAACCTTTTCCCTGCGTAAAACACAGGCACAGCAGCCCATTTAAATGAATAGGCTGGCGTGCGAGCACAAATGTGGCCCACAAAGTGTGCACCTAGCTTTGCAATTGGGTTTCTTTAACAAACAGCCACAGACTTAGTAGAAAGGCCTGTCCCCCACCAGCATGCTGCATAGTGGCACCCTTTGTTTTTGTGTAGAAGCAGCAGACTCTACAGAGGTTCAACACACCCCCATGCTAAGTCAGTTCTATAGTTCTACAATCAGGGAAGTTAACATTCCCTACTGAATGGAGAGCTTTTATGTTACACCTTTAACAAAGCTCAGTTTTGAATGAAAAAAAAAGAAAATTCAATTGGGCTTTAGCAAAGGTGACATCAAGAGTCCATGAAAGAAACATTTATTAACTGACTGATTTACCTATTTTAGTAGCCTAAAGAGAAAGTTTACCTTGACATACAGCTCAGGAAGGAGAAAGGACAGCCTCTGTTGGGCCACACTGAGAATACTCTACACTGAGAAGGAAAGAATGCATCTTACAAGGCATAAAGGTATCCTTGGGAGGTTAATGTAAAAATTTAAAAGCACTACAAATGTTCATTGTTTTCCAAAGTGTTTCTCTTTTTGGGATTTAAATATGTCTTGGGATTTGATGCAGTAGTGTTGGCAAGTATGCAGAGGTTATTCTACAATTATGACAAATGATCCAACAATAGCTCAGTACAAATAAAGATGAGCTTACCTTCTAATGGTGAGTTTATGAGGATGACCCTTCCCATTGGAGAAGTAGCACGCAACCCTTTGGGGTGTCCATTTCCCGGTCTGTTCAGCTTACGGAAGAGATGTCTGGCCCTAAGTGAAGAGTCTCTCCTGGAGGTCCCAGGGTAATCATCTTGGGTCATCTCATTGTCATCCACTTCAATAGCATGAGCCATGACGGCGGTACGTGGCAGCAAGTCATAGGGATCCTAGAGCTCGATAAGTGATTTTAATGGAGAAATGAACGTCAATGCTGGTAAATGTGAAACCTCTTCATGTCGTCTCCCACCAAAAGAGGTATATAAGGAGCATACTGAAGAAAAACATGTCTTCAGAACATTAACAATAATTCAGGGGACTCCATTTTTCTTGATGGAACTCAAAAGCCAACACTTCTTAAACTACAAAAAAGGCAGTATATAGTTAGTTAGAATTTTAGGATTTCAACAGCCATGTATTTTACAGTTATTTTGCTTTAAATAACAATTCAGCTCTAGGTATCAAATCAGTACAGCAAAACATACCTGAGCTCATGTAATTAACTATTTAAGGGTTATTACACAACACTGAAGTGGACTTTTCACACACACAGTTTACAAGCCATAAATAATAATTAAGTACAGATACCAAAAGGAGTCTCCCTCCAGCCACCACCCAACATTCAACAAACTAGTGGTTCCAGCACTGGATTCTTGATTGTCATTTTATTGACCATACTGAATATTTCCTAGTATATGAACATAGTCAATTTATTAATGTCTTTGTCCCCACTGTGACAATTCCCATCACATCCTGACCCAATGACCAACTTGTTAAAATTTCCCTCACAGTATTAAAAAAAAAAAAAAACTAGCCCAAACATGTTTTAGAAGTTTAATGTGAAATTAAAATATTAAAACTGTAGGCACCCTGTAAGATAAAGAGGCTTCATATTTACCTTTCCGGAGGGTTGAACGCAGAAGTGGCATTGCCATGGCAAGGGAACCATGGGCATCTACAGTATTTGATGGTCAATGTATATTGTAAATAATTACTTTTTAACAATGACAATGAAAGCTTTAGCCTTCTATTTGTGATTGCGAATTATAACAGGAAGAAGAGTCAGCAGCACATTGATTAAGCAAGAGATTGTGTGAAACGCGTTAACAGGTCCTGTATTCATGTCCTGGTGTTTTGTATGCCCTATGGATCAATAAATATACACTATAATCATCAATCCTCTGGTGTGCGGCTGACCCTTCTTCCTGTTGCATTGTGTGTGGTGGCCAGCCAGAGCCTGCACCTATCGTGGATTGATCTGGATTGTTTTCCTGAGCGGTATACCTCTGTTCTTTGTGACTGTGAATTGGCAGGATGTGCTCTAGATCATTAGACCACTGTGAGAGCCAATCACAGCTATCAGATGATCAGGACAACGCATCCTGGGCATTAAGACCTAGTTAAAGGGTTGTCAGAAGGTGGTAGGAAAGGGTTAAATAAAATATTGTTTTCTTCTTTTATTTTCCTTTGTTTCATCTCACTTCCCTATACACATGCATGTACTCCAACAATAGCCGCATGGCATTGTTTAGGTCAGGAATCTGCCAACAGTGCACCATGCATAGGTAATACTTGTTGAAATGACCACTTGTAATCTCCAATAGATGTTCATGTGATAGGGTGGCAATGCAGGTACACAACTGGGAGATAGGTACAGATAGCTGTCACCCTATACGGGAATTACCTTAGTACAGACATTCATGGAAGGAGCACCAAGTAATTATTTATTTAAAATTGCACATTTAAAAATATTGAAACTGACTTTTGAAGTGATGTTAAAGCTTATATGAGATTTTAACGATTGGGTTACCTTACAGACAGTATGACGATTTTTGTTTTATATGTATCCATTCAATCTTTGACTTTAACATATGCACTGCAAACTATCTTAGTGTGACACTCTGAAAGGATAGCCTGGTCACATGTAGGAGAAGTGCTTCTGGAAGATATACCTGACTGCATGGATTATTAATGAGACATTGTGCCTTGCAGTACCTGGGCTGTAAGCAGAGCTGATCAACAGCTGTGGTTTTGGTTCTAAAATGTGCATTACAACCCATACTCCTACATATCAGCTTGACCCGGACTCCTACCCTGACCATGTACATGCATCACACATAAAATCATTCAAACTAAATTTAAACAACTTGTAAATGACAATTATTAACAATCTGGCTGTCTGGTGGAGTATAGAGGCCCCAAAAACATTTAAAGGGTAAGTTCACCTTTAAAAAAAAAATGAAAAACACAAACTAACTACAAATATTCTGGCTATCCCTCCAGACTCTGCTGCACATAGCAGCTGTGCTGCCCTGTGCTGCTGGTATAGCGGTCTGTACATCGTACACCACAATACACAGCTCTGGGGTGAGTATACATTATAATGTTTGCAATGTCAAGCACTCATTGGTCAGTGCAACCATGTCAACATGCTGACTAAATGATAAGCGCTTACCAGAAGAATCCTCAAATGCGCTTCTCATTGGTTAGCGTAGTTACGTGGTTGCTCAGACCAATGTGCACTTGCCATTGTAAGCATTATGACGGAACTCACTCCAGGGCTGTGTATTGCAAAGTACAGTTTATGGACTGCTAAACCAGCAGCACAGAGCAACATGGCCACTGTGTGCAGCAGGGTGCAACGTGGACATGACCTGATGAAGGCCCCCCCCCCCCGAAACATGTAGTTATCTGACTCCACAGGCTCGTGTTCTACTTTGTTTCATTGCTGCACATCCCTACTATCTACCATTGATAATCGATTCCAAGATTAGCCTCAGCTCCAGGTGATTCCAGCCCTACTCACAGCGGTAATACACCTACTACTGGTGCCCTTACTACGGTATCCTCCTAGATCTACTTCCGCCCTCAACCAGCAACACTTCTTGTCCTCTGCTGACATCACTTCCGGCTGAAGTGGGCTGAGGTTTGGTGTCCCCGGTGGATGGTGTCACCGCAGTTCATCTTCTTGGTCAATTCTTCCATCCTGTCACACAGGGCTTTGGCATCTTCCACCCAGAGGGCTTGTGAGTCCTATGAATGGATCTTGTGAATTGGTTTTTATGGTATGTGGTTGCTTATGAGACTTTTTTTTCATAGTAAAGTTGTGGCATTTTATGCATATTGCCTGTTGTTCCTTGGACTTTCAGAGTGGAGTATTCGCCCCCAATTTGTTGCAGGACTAGGCGCTCCTTGCTTTGGAAACTGCAGCTTAGAATTGCATGCTATTATTTAGTCTATGATCTACCAGAACACCCAGATCCTTCTCCACCATTGGCTCCCCCAGCTGTTCTCCTCATAGTATGTATGTTGCATGTGTGTTTTCAGTCCCCAAGTGCATAAATTTCCATTTATCAACATTAAACCTCATTTGCCACTTAGTCGCGGTTGGAATGCAATGTATTGTATGTATTCTTTGTGCAACAACTACTGTACATCAGTATTCAGTAGAGATATATTATTTAACCAGTAGATGACAGTGTTTATGTTTGTAGCTGATCTCTGTGGTTAACTATGTCTTTTCTCTATAATAAAAGTTCCTGTTTTGTAGTGAAGCAGTAATTAAACACATGTGAACTGCGCACTGCCTGTTCTGTAGAGCTATATACAGATTTTCTAACAGTTGCCCAATTAAACAGTGCATTGAGATTAACTTCTAAACTGGAGACATCCTGTAATGATGTTATTCCACTGTATAGATTGGTGTCTGCAACAACTGAAATGGTACTTTTAATCCCAGACTCTATACCATTTATAAATATGTTAAAAAGTAAGGGTCCCAACAATGAACCTTTGGGTACGCCACTAATAATTTTGGACCATTCAGAGTATGAAACAGTTACCTTCAACTACTTTAGTATAGACTTTGTTGCCTGGTCTGAAGTTCTTAAAGGGGTGCGTGATATATTACAGAGTCTAACTTGCAGAATGCGCTATATTGCCGTTGCTAAGGACTACCATATTTGTGTTATTTGCTAAAGCAACCAACCAGCCAGGAAGCGGGTGACATAGCAAGGTTGACAGATACTATGGTAGTGAAGGGCGGTTATGCTTGGCTCTTTCACCAGTTGCTGGTTCCCCACATACTGGGACTAACCCCTCAGCACAAAGTACCCAGGAACCTGGCCTGGAGTCATGGGAGAGAGAAAGAGATGTAGAGGAGCCCTGGAAAGGAGAACAAGCATGGAGTTCTGGAGAAGAGCATTTCCTGTATCCAGTAACAACATTCAAAACAGTCACTGGGAGTGGGGTGACAGCACTGGTGAGTTGGTGGAGACCGGTACATACTCTGCAAAGTACCGCCTCAGAAATGATGTACACCTGACAAGTGGTGTTCTCTAACAGTTTAGTGTCTGGAGTGCTTAGTGTCAACAGTGTAGGAAGTCTGGCCACGGATTACAATGTGATAACTGTGCAGGTTGCTTGCTTCTAAATCAGAGTATCATCTTAAAGTGGTAGTAAACTGTGTTTCTAAAAGAAAAAAATAAACTGGTTCCCCTGCCGGCAAGGTCATAATGTGCTAGTATGAACTGCATACTAGCACATTATGACAGGTTTACCAAAAAAAAAAAGAGAGTGCTAATCAGTGTCCACGCTAGGATGCCTTAAGTCCGGCCCACACATAGACCATAAAGAATTAATATGTCCTGGTTGAACCCCAGGCAGGACACAACCTGCATAGAGTTTGTATGTTCTGCCTGTGCTTGTGTGGGTTTCTTCCGGGTACTCTGGTTTTCTCCCATGTTCTGAAGACATGTTGGCAAGTCAACTGGTTCATACTGAAATTGACCCTAGTGTGTGTGTATGTGTGTGTGTGTGTGTGTGTGTGTATGCGTGTGAGGTAGAGACCTTAGACTGTAAGGACAAGGATCACTCCTTAAGGGCAGGGATTGATGTGAATGTACAATATGTAAAGGGCTTCATAAATTGTCTGTGCTATATAAATACAGTGGGGATCGAAAGTTTGGGCACCCCAGCTAAAAATTTGTATTAATGTGCATAAAGAAGCCAAGGAAAGATGGAAAAATCTCCAAAAGGCATCAAATTA